GCAAGCTGACACATCTTTTATAGAGTAATTTTTCTCGTTCTTTCTCAAAAAGGTACGATAGTGCTAAAAGTTGGTATTGACTAACTTTCGAAAGGAATAGTATTAAAACCTAAAATTTTGAGGTTGGCGGTTTCAGACATTGATGCTTTGAATGAGCAAAAAAATAAAAAAATAAAAATTTTTGTCGAGTGCTTCATATATAGTAACGATGCTTGATGGGGTCGTGGACCTTCTCTTAAAAATAAATAATAAAATATTTTTCATATATTTTATTGATAAACTACAGTTGATATAAGAATGATATAATTATTATTCTAATGAATAGATTCAATTGATATCGATCGTATACGTTGACATCGTGATTGTTTTCTTGGTTGTCGTTGTTGTTGTATTTGATATTATAGAATATAATGGTTGTTCATATTTTTCACGTAAACGACGTTCAAATTTAAAAAATTTGTTTCTTTCAATTCTAATTTGTTTTTTTAATTGTTGAAAATTAAAAGATTTTTTACGAATTAAAAATGCATATCGTCTTCGATAATAATATTTATCTTTTAATAAACGAGCTTCAATTTGCATTTGAATATTTTCATAAATTAATTTTCTTGCCTCATTTTCAAGTCTTTCACTTTCTTTTTGTAAATTAGCAGTTGTTAATAATAATTCATTTAATTTATTATCTTCTGTTTTATTATTATAGAAAACAAATTAATAAGACAAATTTATCTCGATAAAATTCTTTTTTTACTTACGAATTTGTTCAATTAATTGATTATATTCTTCATGTGATGTATTATCAACTTTTTCATCATCAATCTAAATCAAATAAATAAATAAATAAATATTAAAAAAGTCGAATTTTGATTATATAATTTACTATTCTTTCTCGACACATGATGCTTATTTAAATGAGTATCTAGAAAAAAGACAAAATATATAACGTTTATTGACTTTTTACAATGACACGATTTATTTGCTTGAAAGCATTCATATAATTGACTATGCTTGAGCGATTACATAAAGAAAAACAAAAAAATATCAAAATACTTTCTGTGAGATTATTCTCAAAAAGACAAAAGAAAAGCGAAAAAGCAACCAGGTATTAAAAAATATTGTTAATATGTTGTGTGTCATTTATAACATAAATGAACATAAGATATTTATTATGATCGACGTTATTTTGCCATTATAATATGAAGAATGACAATGATCATTTTAATATTGAATTTATTGATAGAAATTTAGTCGATTCATTGACAAGAGACTATTCGTAAACATCCTACATGAAACAAAACCGTAGTTTTTCACTACTTTCTACACCTAAATTAGTGTCCGATCTCGACAAATTTTCTCGTCCCAATCATTCGTTTCTAATTTTTCGTGTATAAACATCCTTTTTGTTGAACTAACTTTTTTATTTTGACGAAATTTCGACGAAGATAAAAACAAATAAAAATGATCAGATTATTAACCAACAACAAAAAAACAATATTATTAATTAATTCGATACAGTTCAATTGAATAGGAACATATTATGTGTCTTTTCGTTTAATTGTATTTTTTGTTTTTTTTGTACATTAGAATTTCTCTTCTAGCATTTATCTATAGTTATTTTCAATAAGAAATAAATCAATAAATTGTGGCAATCAATTAAGAATAATAGAGTTAACATAGACACAAGATATGTGATTATTTTAGCACTTATGATCAAAGTTAAGTGACAATCACATCCATGATCGGTAGTCATATCGATCACGTCAAACACTACACTCAATGTCCATTGTCGAAACTTTGTTTAGAAAAGTCAAGTTATTCTAATATAGGATGTTTTTGTTTTTTAATTAAAAGATCGATAAACCTAATTTACGTGTGGATAATGTGCCATAGAATTATGACTAAGAATTTCCTGTGTTTCGGCTAGTTTGTGGCATGGAATGCAGCCTAGTGGCTCAATATGTTTTCTAGAAGTGTGACTATCTTTTACTCTAGAGAGAAAACCAATCTGACACACAGTTATTGCATTTAGTTGCTTGAAATTCTGACAGATGTTAACTAACGATAATCACAGATCTATATCACAATATAATCATCATGATATTATATAGACAAATGATCTGAAATAAATAGTCGTTAGTCAATGGTTTAAGATCATTTCATGAACAATGGTAATGACGTTTGAACATAGTACTGTGTGGATATGTGTTGAACAACATAGTGATGAAAACATGGCGATCCATAGAATAATGATAATTTATTCTTTTGAAAATATTGATCAAAACGAATATTGAGTTTAAAAATGGTTAAAAAAAACAACAACAAAAGAATCATAATAAATGTTCGAATATTGATCGAGATAGATTTTAGTTCGTGATCAATTTTGGTAAATGTTGTTTATGAATGATAGTTTATTTAAAAATTCATTTCAATGTTGATAATTCAATATGATTATTATCTGAAAAGTTTTTGCTTAATTTCATTGAAAATAATCATTGAAATGGTAAATTTTTTGTTTTCAAACTTTTCAACTTTGTCAAATGTAATTAGAATAACAAAAATTTATTATTTACTTCATTTATTAAAGTGATGAATAAATATTGTATATCGTCTAATAAATTATTTATTAAATAAAATTCGAAGTGAAATATAGAAAATTGAATAAAAATTTTCATTTTTTATAAATAAATATATTTATATAGAGAAATTTATTATCGATTTTATAACATTGAAGAAAACAAAACAAAATGATTTAAAAAAAAACAAAAATCTTTATTATTGATAAAATAAAATAAAAATATATTGAAAAATAATAAATAAATAATAGTTTTTAACGAAATTTAATTTATTTTTATAATAAATAGGAAGTTGATATTAAATATCAAAACATATTGATAAAATAATTATTTTAAAAAATAAAAATAAAAAAGTAAAGTAAAGATAAAAATGAAATATATATTTGATTGATTATATAAAAGTCAATTGAAGAGTAAAAAATGATGATATAATATTATATAAACATTTATAATAACGGTGATGAATATTTTAGTTAACTATTGACAACTGAGTATGAATTTAACGGGTATAGTTTTTTGTATGCACGTTTTATGCATATGTTATTATCGTGCTTAATCGTTAAGTAAATAATAAAACAAATACTAACGAAAACGAATTAAGACGATTGATGAAAATCAATATCATATTCTACTAGCTACTTTACTATTCTATTCATGTGAAATTTACTGATGACGTCTAGTAAAACAACAAATTATAAATGAAAGAAATTTTTATTTCAAATATCATTTTACTTATTCAACGAAAAAAAATGACGCTCTCATTTTAAATTACTCTCACATTTCAAGTATTTAACATGTTATATATTCAACATCGTTCGAACAACAATTTTTGAAAATTTACGCGTAAATCATTATTCTTTTATACCGTTGTTTTTTTTTCTTTTGATTTCACATACTAATATAAGATAAGATAATCAATTCTTGTGCTATGTGAAATTTAAAATAATCTTTCTCTTAGGTTAAAATAACGCCCTTTACTTATGAATACTAATGAACTAAAAAAAACTTTCATAAAGGTTACAGATTAAAACATCATGCGTAGTTTCTTTTTCTTTTTTTATATAACGGAAGTATATATCTATATCTATACATGACAAACAAAATTTTTAAGATTATTTTATTGGAAAACGTCGTCCATTTATAATAAATGACATTAACTGATACAAGTAAAAATTCACCGAAATTAACTCATAGTTTTTCTATGATTGATGACTTAAATAATAAAGATCAACATCGAAAATTTAAACGAATGAATCCATCAATATTTAATTTATTTTCATGGCATCGACAAACAAATATTTTAAGAAGAAAAAATAAAACTTTACAATTACAACAAGATAATTCTCTTTTATATCGTCCATCAATTTTAACAACATCAGAATTATCAAGATCTATATCAAATAGATCAATAACATTTGCATCAGTTTTTGATGAATTAGAAAATGAAAATATTCAGAAAAATAATCATTCAGTAAGATTTAAAAAAAAAACACTATTTTTATTAATATTATATTTATTATAAATTTAATTAGAATTTTGATATAACTACATCAATAGATAATGAAGATCTTGTTATTGTTGTTCAAAATAAATATGTTGACAATAAAACAAATATAAATAATTCAA